AAAACCCTCTGAATAATTTTGTTTTAGGGTCTCCCTTAACCATTCAGCGCCTTTCATTGTAAATAAATATCAAACAATTATATTTCATTTTATGTTATATCATGAGAGCTTCTTAATAATTCTGACCACTTATTTATTTTGCATTAAATCATTCAGCAACCGTCAAACAACCGCTAAATTCAAGCTCTAAATAAAAAAAAGATAATATAAAATAACACATGATGCATCAATTTTTAGAATTATGATAATTTATTGGGCTCTTCCCATTACTTTAATAACCCTTCATACATAATGTTTTCTTATTTATTTCTAGTATTCCATATCCGACTTTCTAAAATTCATTAAAAATGGAAACGTAGTTTTTAAAAATATTCAAAATAATTCAACTCTGCCAACATATTGAAGAGTTTTTGTTCAAAATTATAGAACATAATAATCATGTTTTAATAACTAAAGTTGTTTAAAAATATTCATGAAGAGTAAAGGGCCGTTGACCAAACGTTTACTTGGATAAGAACTTACCAAATCACATCACCTTACCAAATGAATATGGTAAGGACCAAGAATCTTACCCAAGAGTCTTATCCGGTAAGTGAGGATGTTGACTCTTACCACGATAAGCGCTTACCAGGAAAATTGTTGCATACAATTTCGTTTTTATGAACTAAAATCTTACCTGATAAGTAAATGATAGTGTTGAATTTTACCCGTAAACGTTTACAGATGAAGTGTTTAGTAAAAGCTGGCATTTCTTGTGTTTTAGGGAAAACTACACTTGGGTTCTAAGAGCTTATTTATTAAAATTTGGGTAATCATGGTTCGTAATGAATTCAGTCCTTACGATTGGGTCCATGTGAAAAAAAAGTAATTATTTTCCTCCATCTTGGTCTTCTAAAAAATGCCAAATAATATGAGATATCCCCCATCAAGAATAATACTGTTTTTTTAGTACAAGTGTCGAATCCGAAAAAGATATGACTTTACAAACGTAAAACTCACAATAAGTAATGGATAATAAATAGTGTTTCTATGATTACGTAACAGAAACTTAATATATATCTCAAACAATTAATATATATCTCAAACAATTCAATCTAATTAAAGAACAATAATCATAAGGCAATTTGGTGTCAAATGCTTTCCATTAATCTCTACTGTTTGATTACAATCGGTTTAGATATGTGAAAGAGAGAGATTCGAGATCGAAAGAGAAAGTCTCTATTCAAAATAATTTCAAACGTAATAACTCAAAGGTTACATAGAAGTTATTACAACTGAAAGGCTAAGACATTCTATTTATATCCGGAAAAATTTAAGGGAAAATTATGTTGAATGATATGACGTGTACAAAAGTAACCGCTACCGCTGACGACAAATCTAGTAAAAGTTCAAAAAGTTTATGATAAATGTTTAGAAGCTTATGATCGTTGAACAATAAGGAACATACTTAGGTGCATGAGCAATTTTCAGAAGCTTCTGACCACACAAGGCCTTAAAACTCAAAGGCTTTGAGATGCCTTCTGTTTTTCCACTTCAAAAGCCAAAACTTAGAAATTTCCAACAGTTTAGAGGATCCGACCCTTATTTGTCTTTGAATTTCAGCAACTATAATCTTTTCAACACTGTGGATTTCCAGTGTTCTTAATACCTTTTATGTACAAATAAGATCTCAAGGCAAGTATTATACAACATGGTACACAAAATGAACTAACAACTGATCAGTCTTTGACTTGAGTCCACGAAAATCTAATATAATCTCTGAAATTTATGTGATTGTTGTGATGTGTTGCTCCTTATGATCTGATTTTCCTTTTCCTTGACTTAGAACATTCTCACATATCCATCTCAAAGTAGCAATTGAATACTTATACCAGTCACTTGCTCTGAACAATCTTTTTAGCTTATAGTCATTTTTGTACACAATACCAAGATCTTGAGGTGGAAGAATATTACCACACTTGATTTGCTACAAACCATGGTAGTCCTCAACAGGTGATTCAACATTCATCTTGTTCAAACCAAACTCCAGAGCTTTATGTGAATCGAATGCGGCATGCTCCTTGACATAAGCTTCCAAGACCTCTTTAGGTCATTCAACATCCGTCTTGCTCATACAAAACTCAGCTATTTTAAATGCATGCATATACTCTATGTTTACCAACTTTTGATTGAAAATAAGAAAGCATATCATACAGATCGTAGGGAGACATATTTTGTATTTCTGCATCAATAACCTTACGGATTTTCATCATTCATAATGAAAGATTTAATGAGCTCTTTCACTCAGCTATCTGATCTTACAACATGCAATGTATTAAGCTTTTTCTTCATAAATTGATCATAGACTTCTAAGTACTGCTCTGTAGTTCCGACATGAAACTTATTACTTTGTGGTCTAAAAAGACACTCAAATGGTTTTCTAAAAATTACAACATGGATATGTCCCTTGAAGCTTGGTTCTTGTGCATAAGTAAGATTAGGAATAACATCATTATGTACATGTACATGTACTATTAGTAGTTTTCTAAAATGATATACTCATAAACTATCACATCTGTCTCCTCAAAAAGTTGCTCTTTGACAAAGATCTGGTCAATTACTGGTTCATAAAGAATAGGAAAGTGTATCCTTGGAATTTCAATAAATATTCTATAAAGCCTCAGAATTGTGTCATCACTAGTTCTAGTAAACCAAGGTAAATGCCCAAACAATCAGGCCTCTATGTCTTTCATTGGATTTCTTACTACTTGTTAGGTCAAGTATTATTGTATCCGAGATCATCGTTTATTAACACAATTGTTGAAGATGGGAAGGTTAAAACTTAAAGTCAACATACTCAACAAAAGTCAACATTGTGTTTAATTGTAGTTTGATTTGTGTGTTTAGTCAACTATATAAATAGCTTGTTAATGGTACTTTGTAGTTAGATCTTAATGTGCTATTCATCTGTTACATTCTAGAGAGAAGTTATATATTAAGAGAGTTTATCAATGTACATGATAATTTGATCTCCAAATTGTTGTTCTTGATTGTTGAATTACATTGTTACCTGATTGAAACTGAGATTATCAATTGGTATCGGAGCAGAAAGACAAACATTTTGATCTGATTAGTTCAAGTTTTGGAAGGTTTTTGAAGATCATAGACTCTGTTTTATATAGTCGATAGTTTTTGATCGAGATTCATCGAATTTGGACTTTTAATCATCAATTCTTTGTCCAATTGATTCAGCTTCATCAATGAAGAGCATCTAATTCAATTTATTCCGCAAATTAAGAGGTTTGATCGATTAATTTGGATTTTCTTGAAGTTTTTGACCAAACGACAGTTTGGGATAATTTTTGCAAAATTTGCTCATTTTAATATGTTTTTGGTACAACAATCTTCATTAATTGTGTTCATCTATATAATTCGGCACTCAATATCGAGTTTCATTAATTTTGGTTGAGATTTAATTCTTAATTTCTCAATCTGTCGAAGATTTGAGTGTATCGCAAGGTTTAAAGGTTTGAATATCTATCGCATAGAAGGTCGAGATTATATCGCATAACATAGTTCGATAGTTGTGTATATCGCATTACATTGGTGTGATAGTTGAGTTTATCTTAAGACATTATATGCGATAGATGGGTTCATCGCGTAAATATATATATATATATATATAGGGTTGGGTTCACGTGAGACCAGAGGTTTTTTGTGAGACCCGTAAGACCAATTTATGTCCATTGATCAACTTTATAAGCTAATAATCTAATGATCTAAAATTGCACGGTGGCAATTTTGTGATTATTGAGAAGTCTCGTGGCAATTTTGTGATTATGAATTTTCAGATTATAGATCTAATCCAAGGGTTGAGAATTGGTCTTACGGGTCTCACGAAAAACCTTTGGTCTCACATGATCTCAAGTCTATATATATATATATATATATGATAGTTGATAGCTTTCTCCGACACTTTTGGTGTTACCTGCGATAGTTTGTTTGGCCTGCGATAGTTTGAGATATCTGCTATTCTAATAAGTCTGAGATAGTTGACTATAATGGTCTGCCATAGTTGACTTCTAAGGGTTGACTTTCATAATTTTACCTTTGGATCAAATCAATTAGTTATCTTACGATCATTCAAGTCTAATAATCATGTTTTCACATGAAGCAATGGCAATCGGTTCTAACGTTAAACCACAAGTCTTATTCAGAGGTGATTACCCACAATGGAAAGACATGTTTCTAGATTTCATTGATAGAAAAGAACCGGGTGAAGAGATAAGAGAATCTTTGGAACATGGACCAGCTAATCCTATGCAAGAAACTCCTGCAATGCCTGATGCAAATCCACCGATTCCGACACGAATAAAATCTAAAGAATATGCAAAGATGACTGAAACAAAGAAGAGGCGTTTCAAAGTTGACAAGTTGGCAAGATCCTTCATTTGTCAAGGATTACCAAATGAGATTTATAATAGCATTGACAGTCATAAGCAAAGTAGTAAAACAATGTGGGATTAGATAGAGAAACAGATGATGGGAAGTAATGTTGGAGCTCAAATTAAAGTGACTAATTGTATTAAAGGATATGAAGACTTTAAGGCAACAGATGGAGAGATGCTAGAAGCAACCTATGAGAGGTTTTACAATTTACTTAATGAGTTGAGGAAGAACATGACTCAAAAGACATTGATAGAAAACAATCTGAAGTTTTTGACTACAACCTAAATGGAAAAGATTTGCATCTCATATCATTCAGAAAAAATCATTGTCTGAACTTGATATTCATGTAGTGTATGAGTCTCTGTTGCAGAATTAGGATGAAGTTTTAGAGTTCATTGAGGCAAAAAAGAAGTTAGAGAAGCAAATCAGCAGATCCTTTAGCTTTAGTTGTTGGCGAGAAGCAAAGGTAGTATTCTAGAAGTTCAAGGAAGGAAAGAGAGCATGGTGTATCTTTTGAGCTAGAGGAAGTTGGCAGTGATTCAGATTCCGATTTGAATGATCTTAAGCAGGCTATGGTACTTCTTACCAATGTTTTGCAAAAGAAATTCTATAAAAAGTCGTCTTCAAACAAGCAGCGTTTTTCTTCTAGCTCAAGGAGGATTGAATACAAGAATAAGTATGAAGGAAAAAAGAAATTTGAAGAAAAGAAAGCTGAAGAAAAGAAGACTGATGAGGTACAAAAGTGCTATAATTGTGGAAAGACTGGTCACTTTGCCAATGACCGTTGGAAACAAGTTGTGAAATATTCTGGTTATTATAAAAACAAGATGCTCCTAACAAAACAGAAAGTGGCAGGTAAGGCATTGATAGTAGATGACGATCACTGGCTACAGTTATCCAAAATTGATGAGGAAGACAATGCTCATGAAAATATATGTATCATGGCTAAAGAATCAAAAGAGCATAATTCTGATAATGATAATGATCGTACTTCTTGTTACTCTGAATGTTTTAAGGTACACTTTTGTTGATCCTCTCTCTCAGTGATTTGATGATAATCCCTTTTACCTCTCACGTTGTATTTGTGTTTCTGTATTTTCAGTTCCAGCGATCATCACTGAGTATGTTCAGTGATCGCTAAAGAACTTGCATTGTAAATTCATCAGAGATAGCAATACTTCAAGAAGACCACTCTCACACTAAAGAACCTTCAGCGAACGTCGAAGACTGAAACTGAAGATTAGAGACTGGCGAGTACGTGATCTGAAGCGGTATTTAGTGATTACAAGCCTGACTACATATGTGTGAAGACTGCTCTAGCTTCAGCGAATGATGATGAGACCTTTAGGTCATTCCAGCATTCAGCGATCAAAGGAAGCTTGCTTAGCACGATTGTTGTTGTCTTGTCTTTATGCACACAAAGGACAAACCCATACCCTTGCAAAAGTTAGTACGGTACGGAGCCGATTAGTCGACTCTTTGTCCACCAACTTTAGGCAAGGATGTCTGCTAAAAAATAGTGCTTTTGTACTATTCACTGTAACAAAGGACAAGCCTTCCTCTTAAGGCTTGACGAAGGCTTGACACGCACTCTAAACTTACCATATTGCATTAAATGTTCATTTAATGCACTGGGCATAAATAGAAGTGTTTCTTCTCCATGCAGAGTGCGCGTATCTCTCTGCTATCCTCTTCTTACTTCAAGCATCTTCTAGCTTAAGTAAAAGATCTTCCTTTTAGCAATCTCTTTTCTTGTATTTGCTAAAGATCTGTGTGTAACCAAAGATTGTTTAGATAGGTTTTCTTTACCTTATCTTTTCGTAAATAGTCTTGTAAAATCTGTATTGATCTTCTCTATCAATATATATTTTAAATTTGAAAATAATGTGTTTGTATTCATCCCCCCCTTTCTACAAACTGTTTCTATTCTTGTAGACCCTTACGGGACCAACAAATGGTATCAGAGTAGTATTTTCTTTCTTTCCTTGTGTTTAGCTAATTTTCTGTATTAATTTATCTCTTCTTAGATAACTTACTGCTTTTAAATGGCTTTACAAATCATAAACACACACACACACAGAGGATAATGGCTCTCTTGCCAAACCACCCCGGTTTGTCCGTGACAATTTTAGTCTCCGGAAGAACCGGATGTCCCTCTTTCTGGAAGGTGTGGATCCTGAAATTCCACACTACATAGAAAATGGACCATATATTCCATTTGTTATTGTTCCGGCTGTTCCAGCAACAACTACGACTGCCGCAATTCCTGAACGGCAGATTCCAAAGCTTCCACATCAGTGGAGCGATGAGGACAAGAAGAAAATAGCTATAGACACGCGTGCTCGGTCTATAATAGCTATGTCTTTTCCTGATGAGATATATCACTCTGTGATGAAACTCAAAACTTCTAAATCCGTATGGGATACTCTTTGTGTCCAATACGAAGGAACCACTCAGGTTCAGGAGACTAGAAAGATCAACCTAGTAAGACTATGAAAACTTTCTCTGTGGAAAGTCCGAGACACTGTCTGAAGTACATCAAAGATTTAATTGCCTTCTTATTGATCTTAGGGCTGTCGACAGGGAATATTCTAATTCTGAAACCTTGACTAAGTTTCTAGAATACCTTCCTGAGTCTTGGGATACTTTTTCCATGTGTCTCAAGATGTCAAATGACATGTCCACTCTTTCTCTTTCTACCTTATACGAGATTCTGCTTAACCATGAGCAATCTCGTCAACTGAAAAGAAATCTTGTAAGAGATTCCAGGGAAATGAAAAGCTCTCCTTTAGCTTTGATCTCTAAATCTTCTTCAGTTGAAACCTCTACTCATTCTGTCTCTTCTCTACCTCCCGTGGTCATCACGGAGATAGATTCTTCTGAGGACATTTCTGAATCTGATTTAACAGATTTTAATGAGTCCCTGACACTCCTGACTAAGTCATTTAGGAGGTTCGCCAGTAAAGAAATTTCCGCAGATCTCCATAGCTACCCCTCAGGGAGAAGAAAGTCTGAAAGAATAGACAAGGCTTCAGCTGTCTGCTACAACTGTCACCGGCCCGGACACTTGTAGGTGAATGCAGATCCAAGAAGACTGCGATGCCATCTTCGAAAGCCTCTTCCGCCTTCAGGACCAAAGATGATAAATACTTAAAACTGAAGGAGAAATACAAGAAGATGAAGAACAACCAGCAAAAGGCTAAAGGCCTTATTGCTGAAGAGCATGACTGGGCTGAATCATCTGATGAATCATCTTCTGACGAGGAAGATAAAGCTTATGTATGCTTGATGGCTATTGATGTTGTCGAAGGTGTTTCTAAAGCATCTACCTCTTCTGAGCCATCTTCTGTTAATCAGGTATGTACCCTGAATGAACCTTCTTCTAGTCTTTCTGYA